GCTGCTTATTATCTTTGACTTGGCCAACCCCTGTGTCTCTCTCACACACACACCAGAAGACTGCCTGCATCTGACAGACTCCAGAACCCGTAGATAATGCAAGGACAGACTCTGGATGCTGGGGACACTTCATTCTTATTCTCTAAGAAGATATGTGATTCTCAAGGAGGAGAACTTGGTGGGAAGTAGCTGGGAACTGGTTAGGAATTTTTGGGATGCACCAAGTCTTCCCCAGTCAGGCTGAGCATCTATGAGACCCCCGATGATTTGGGTGTATGTAAGACCAGAGAAGTTCTGTTCTCAAGCACACACAGGATAGAGACTCTCTCTGGCCTCCACTAAAGGGGCATGCCAGGGGACTGTCTTGCCCTCAGAACTCAAAAGGAAGGCAGAATTTGCAGTAGTCATACTATGCTAGGATGTTGTGCCTCTTGGTGAATTTCCCATTCTTCTGTTGAGTTCACAGTGTCATTCGTCTTATAATGGCACTGGTAGAAACCATTGTGGAAGACTGAAATCCAGTACCATAAAGACTTTGTGTATGGCCATATTCCCTCCTTGAGAGAGAACAACCCCTTACTTCTCGCTCTATTTCTGAAGCACAAGTTAATGATACTTGAATTTATTTGACTAAAATGCATAGAAGTATGTTTGAGAGGAGGCCTGTGAGTGGCTATGGAAATTTCTCAGTGGATAGAGTTCTTGCTGTGCAATTATGGGGGCCTGGGTTCTAATCCCCAGCTTGGATGCACTTACATATAACCCTAGCATTAGGGGGTGGAGACAGGGGGATCTCATAAAAACTCACTGGTCAGCCAGTCTATCCAAAACAGCAAGCTCCAGGTTCAGTGAGAGAACCTGCCTTAAGAAAATAAGGTGGAGAGAGACAGAGGACAGCACATAATGTCCTCCGCTGGCCTCCTATGCATATGCAGGAGGGCACGTGTGCACACACACACGCATACACAGAAAAGTTGCATGAAAGATACATCTAATGAGTATGTGTGATAGACTCGGGTATTTTTAATCACTGCAATGCTATTTTTCATGTATTGCCCTCTACCCTCCATAGAACTAGTATAAGACCACTGAATGGCTCATGACCGACAATGAGTGTAAAGTGTTGCATGTAGATACTGACTTCAGAGGAGCTGCCATTTACATACACATCTTCCTTTCGAGATGCAAAGGACAGAGCTCCGATCCACGTAGGGACTCAGCATGCCTGCCGAGTGCATTATAGAAGAATGTACCAGTATCACGAGCTGTTCTTCCAAGTTGTCATCATCTACCTCTTAACTACTTGGCCCCATTGCAAGAATTGTTTTTTTTAAAAAGTATGAGTGTTTGGTTGTACAAAAAGTTTGCACCCAATAACCCTAAGACTAAACGTTTGACAGTGAACTTAGGCTCTCAGCGGGAATTCTCAAAGACGTGTTTTCGAAGACTACGGTCCTGGATAGCAAAAGGAAACAGAAAAAAATATATATAAGTTCAAAACATTTGGGGGGTTCCTTTTCTTGCTAGTTGGGTGGACATTTTGCTATTTTTCCTCACTGTCAATTAACTGGAGCTTAGATGGCTGTGTCTGAGACACATTTAGAAAGTCCCATGTTGGGGAGAAGCCAGCCTGTCACTTGAGCCTCCACGGTGCTCGGCCAGTTCGCCTTCACTCTCTGTCACCTTGTCTGCTCTAATGGCATTGGAGTCCTCGGGCAGAGGTTTACAAAGGTGGGGGAGGTTAATCACAATCATTTATCATTTTATCGTTGATATCCTGGGCTTGGAGATGTTACTCTAGTTGATGAGGCAGGAAGGGAACTTGAGTCTAGGTAGCAGGATCTGTAGTTATGTTCTAGTCAAAATCATACAGCCCCTCCCCGCCATCATTCCTCAGCTCACCATGGTTGCATGCAAAGACCACAGCCCCCAAAAGTATGTCTAAAAGGAATAACTGCAACTTCACTCTCTCCTCTCACCATAACACTCATTAAAAAAAAAAAAACAGATTTGGGCTTGATGGCACACACTTGTGATGGCACCGCTAGGGAGCTGGAGGCAGAAAAATCAGTTCCAGGTCATCCTTGGGTACATGAAAGGCCAGGATTCCTGAAAACAACCACAAAAATAAGCACAGAAGGAAACTGCCGAATAGTCCTTCTGCACCTTATTTTAGTTACTTTTTTTTTTTTGGCCGGCGGATCTCTGTGAGTTCGAGACCGGCCTGGTCTACAGAGCTAGTTCCAGGACAGGCTCCAAAGCCACAGAGAAACCCTGTCTCGAAAAAAAAAAAAAAGTAACTTCTGCACCTTATTGTAAAATGTTATATTTACATATAATACATGGGATGGTTAATATTGATCACCAACCTGACAGGATCTGTAGTCACCATAGAGACAAGGCTCTCCACGTGCCTGTGTGGAATTATCATGATTAAATGAAGGCAGGTGGGAAAATCCACACAACACGTGGGTGGCACCGCTCCCTGGGCTAGAACCCTGGACTGAGGTAGAGAGAGAGTAGGCTGAGCTCCAGCATCGGTCTCCCTCTACTTCCGGGCTGTTGAAGCAGCATGGCCAACAGGCCTCTTGCTCAGGCCTTCATTCCTTCTCTGCCTAGAGGGACAGGATTCTCCTGTAACTGTAGCCTGAACTGAACCTTTCCTTTATTTGCTTATGTCAAGTATTTTATCAGAGTAATGGCATCCAATAATACAATATATGTGCCTCCTTCACTCTTTGATTATGGCCCCTACTAGTTAAGCAGCAAAGAACACTCTGCCTTCATTTCCTGTGTATCAAATGTGACTAGGAACAATAGTACCTACCTCACTGAGTTTTCTTTTCCTTTCTTTCTTTCTTTCTTTCTTTCTTTCTTTCTTTCTTTCTTTCTTTCTTTCTTTCTTCCTTCCTTCCTTCCTTCCTTCTTTCCTTTCTCTATATTTATTTTTTTAAAAACAAACAATCTTTTTTCATTATACACACCAATCCAAGTTCCTACTCCCTCCCCTCCTCCCATTCCCTCCTCCACACACCTTCCCACACCCCCCACCCCCATCCAGTGAGGGTAAGGCACAGACCTTGAAAGAACAATAATCAACTTCATATGGAAAACAACAACAACCAAAAAAAACCAGGATAGTCACCAAGTTTTTCTTAAAGGCCAAACAGGATAATATATATGAACTACTAGTAACATAGGCTGGATCACATAGCAGGAGGCTATTCATGGCAGCTAATTAGGGATGATCACTCCTACAGGAACCTATACACTGGGTTCCCTTCATCCCATATTTTGTCATTAAAAGTAATGAGAGATCTTTTTGCTAATTTTTATTACATTTATTTTGTGGTTTAATTTGTATGCATGTGTGTTCATGCGTGTGCATGTGTGTTGATACAGATGTTACAGGTTACATGTGAAGATCAGAGGAAAACTTGTGGAAGTCAGTTTTTCTTTCTATCATGTGGATCCCAGGGGTCAAACTCTTGTCCAGGGGCTTGGCAGCCAATGCCTTCACTCCCTCAGCTTCTCTTTCTGGAATAAAAGAAAGTATTTGAATACAAAATGCTGCGCAAACTGAGGAAGATCACTGCTCCAGCCTAAACTTGGTTCTATAGCAAAGAAGTCATCTGTGGAAACCTTGGTGGCATTTGAGTAAAACATGCAAAAGAATTAATGTTAAACTATTAGTTTTTAAATGTATACAATATTTGATTAATTCTTTGAGGATTTTGTGCAATGTGCTTTGATCGTAGTCACTGTTCTCCACCCAACCTTCCTGGATGATGTAGTTGGCGAGTTACTGGAGTTACTCATAGGAATATAGATGGGGTATTACTCACAGAACCATGGGTGATGTGAAGGCATCTGTATCACCAAAACCTCTTCCCTAATGGGAAATGACTGACAGCAGCTGCATTTAGTCATCCCTGGGGTTCTCCTCACAGTCCGAGGGAAGTTGGGCCTCTCTGAGAGTCTCCCCTCCAACACCTGTTAGCCAATTTTAAGGAAGGTCCTTGAGAATTTTGGAAGTTTCCGAAGGTTTCTGAAATGTGTGACTTTCATTTATTCCCTGAGCCTTGTAAGTTTCATTTACTCCCTGACTCTTGTGACTTTCATTTACTCCCTGGTTCTTGTGAGGCTCGCTGCTCCCCATAATGGGGGTGTTCCCTTTAGAGAAGAACAAGTATTTATGGGACAGAGATGTGTGTTTGACATTCATAAAGGCTAGGACACTGGTTGGTGCACAGCCACTACCAGGAAATGAAGCAACTATGATTAGACATGCTCAACAAACCTCTCTTTCCACCAGATTTGGCCCCTCATGTTCAGATTCAGGATGTACAAGAAAAAGAGACTTTTTCTTCTCTCTTTAAGAGACAAATCATAATTGGTATAAACAAAACATAGCAATCCTTCTACTGCCTTCAGCTCAGGTTTAGGTGTGTACTCAGTGGCAGAATGTAAGGGGAGTCAACTAGAAACTCTTCCTTCCTTTTCTTCTTCTTCTTCTTCTTCTTCTTCTTCTTCTTCTTCTTCTTCTTCTTCTTCTTCTTCTTCTTCTTCTTCTTCTTCTTCTTCTTCTTCTTCTTCTTCTTCTTCTTCCCCTTACCCTTACCCTTACCCTTACCCTCCTCCTTCTTCTTCCCCTTCCCCTCCTCCTTCTTCTTCCTCTTCCCCTCCTCCTCCTCTTCT